AAGTGGGACAGGGATCCTTAAGGTAAAACCACAGTGAAGTGGGACAGGGATCCTTACGGTAAAACCACAGTGAAGTGGGACAGGGATCCTTAAGGTAAAACCACAGTGAAGTGGGACAGGGATCCTTAAGGTAAAACCACAGTGAAGTGGGACAGGGATCCTTAAGGTAAAACCACAGTGAAGTGGGACAGGGATCCTTAAGGTAAAACCACAGTGAAGTGGGACAGGGATCCTTAAGGTAAAACCACAGTGAAGTGGGACAGGGATCCTTAAGGTAAAACCACAGTGAAGTGGGACAGGGATCCTTACGGTAAAACCACAGTGAAGTGGGACAGGGATCCTTAAGGTAAAACCACAGTGAAGTGGGACAGGGATCCTTAAGGTAAAACCACAGTGAAGTGGGACAGGGATCCTTAAGGTAAAACCACAGTGAAGTGGGACAGGGATCCTTAAGGTAAAACCACAGTGAAGTGGGACAGGGATCCTTAAGGTAAAACCACAGTGAAGTGGGACAGGGATCCTTAAGGTAAAACCACAGTGAAGTGGGACAGGGATCCTTACGGTAAAACCACAGTGAAGTGGGACAGGGATCCTTAAGGTAAAACCACAGTGAAGTGGGACAGGGATCCTTAAGGTAAAACCACAGTGAAGTGGGACAGGGATCCTTAAGGTAAAACCACAGTGAAGTGGGACAGGGATCCTTAAGGTAAAACCACAGTGAAGTGGGACAGGGATCCTTAAGGTAAAACCACAGTGAAGTGGGACAGGGATCCTTAAGGTAAAACCACAGTGAAGTGGGACAGGGATCCTTACGGTAAAACCACAGTGAAGTGGGACAGGGATCCTTAAGGTAAAACCACAGTGAAGTGGGACAGGGATCCTTAAGGTAAAACCACAGTGAAGTGGGACAGGGATCCTTAAGGTAAAACCACAGTGAAGTGGGACAGGGATCCTTAAGGTAAAACCACAGTGAAGTGGGACAGGGATCCTTAAGGTAAAACCACAGTGAAGTGGGACAGGGATCCTTACGGTAAAACCACAGTGAAGTGGGACAGGGATCCTTAAGGTAAAACCACAGTGAAGTGGGACAGGGATCCTTAAGGTAAAACCACAGTGAAGTGGGACAGGGATCCTTACGGTAAAACCACAGTGAAGTGGGACAGGGATCCTTAAGGTAAAACCACAGTGAAGTGGGACAGGGATCCTTAAGGTAAAACCACAGTGAAGTGGGACAGGGATCCTTACGGTAAAACCACAGTGAAGTGGGACAGGGATCCTTAAGGTAAAACCACAGTGAAGTGGGACAGGGATCCTTAAGGTAAAACCACAGTGAAGTGGGACAGGGATCCTTACGGTAAAACCACAGTGAAGTGGGACAGGGATCCTTAAGGTAAAACCACAGTGAAGTGGGACAGGGATCCTTAAGGTAAAACCACAGTGAAGTGGGACAGGGATCCTTAAGGTAAAACCACAGTGAAGTGGGACAGGGATCCTTAAGGTAAAACCACAGTGAAGTGGGACAGGGATCCTTAAGGTAAAACCACAGTGAAGTGGGACAGGGATCCTTAAGGTAAAACCACAGTGAAGTGGGACAGGGATCCTTACGGTAAAACCACAGTGAAGTGGGACAGGGATCCTTAAGGTAAAACCACAGTGAAGTGGGACAGGGATCCTTAAGGTAAAACCACAGTGAAGTGGGACAGGGATCCTTAAGGTAAAACCACAGTGAAGTGGGACAGGGATCCTTAAGGTAAAACCACAGTGAAGTGGGACAGGGATCCTTAAGGTAAAACCACAGTGAAGTGGGACAGGGATCCTTAAGGTAAAACCACAGTGAAGTGGGACAGGGATCCTTAAGGTGAAACCACAGTGAAGTGGGACAGGGATCCTTACGGTAAAACCACAGTGTAGTGGGACAGGTTCCTTAAGGTAAAACCACAGGGAAGTGGGACAGGGATCCTTAAGGTAAAACCACAGTGAAGTGGGACAGGGATAATTAAGTTGAATGTACATGTATTGAGTACATACTTTTGTTGAAACTATGATTTATTGGTGATATAATATTATTGTACACTTCAAAAGTTTTCTGCTCAAGGTTGCATTGAATCATGGCGTGTGATCCCCAATTAAAAATCAGAGGTTGCTCTACATTCTGTCAATCAATACCATACATACAGGTTGTAATGTAACAGGCCTTGACATCATCTATCCTGAATGGACTGACACATCCTGGTTTATTCAACATTAGGTCTACTTGTGTTTGTGATCTTTAGATCAAATCAGATAAATAAAATTTTACCTTTACTGAAGAAGTAGGTAGTTAAACGTCATTCGTTCACAACCACTATAGGTTTCCTCACTCCAAACTTATAACAAGAGGCCCATGGGCCTTAACGGTCACCTGATATATTTATACAGAGAGTTGATTTTGTTTTTAAGATGAACAAAAATATTATTCAAAGTGACAAAAAACAATAAAACCACCTTATACAATATCTAGCATACAGATTTAAGACTGAAAAGTATTTGAAACTAGCACCTCTGATTCTAAACAAGGAAAATGAAGAAATTTTAGCACACTGACTCCTTTGGGCCCCAACCTTGGGGGTAGGGCTGGCTCAAAATTTTCAAAGTATCAAACTGTCAACTCAGGGTTATAATTCCAATCAAGTTATTAACATGTAATATTCAAAGTATCATTTGCCATTATAAACCATAATAAATTTTGCCCCCCTCTCCCCCCCCTCTTTCCCCAGGGGGTAAACGTGAGACCCTAGGGTCACAAACCTTAAGACCCTTCCATCTATGAAGAGTATTTGTTTAATAGTAAAGTTAACCCCCTCGCCAGGGGGAAACATGAGACCCCAGGGTCATAAAATTCACAATTTTAGTAGAGCACCTTAAGACCCTTCCATCTTTGAAGAATGTTTGATTCTACCATATCTGGGTCTTGAGAAGAAGATTTTTGAAATTTCAGTAAATTCGACCCTTTTTGGCCCCACCCATGAGCTCTGGGGGGTCAGTCAGGGCTCATATGTGCATACCATCAAACTGCTACCTAATACTGATAATGCTAACCCAAATTGAATTACTTCCAATGGAAATTAAACAAATGTTAGTCAAAAATGTGATTTCCCTATATAAACTATAGTAAAGTTTACCCCCTCCCCAGGGGGAAACGTGAGACCCAAGGGTCAGGAAATTCACAATTTTGGTAAAGCACCTTAAGACCCTTCCATCTATGAAGAGTATTTGATTCTACCATATCTGGGTCTTGAGAAGATTTTTGAAATTTTAGTCAATTTGACCCTTTTTGGCCCCGACCCTCAGGCCCCTGGGGGCTAGGGACCAAATCAGCCACTATTTTTGTTGACCTTTGGCCATGGAAGGCGGCCGACAAAAGGCGATCGCAATAGGTCACTTGAGACTTTGTCTCAGGTGACCTAAAAACCTACTAGGAGTTGGTATTCTTTTTTGGTTACCCACCAGTGGAACAGTGACTTTTGGGGAACCTCCCTATATTTTTTCTACCATTAAACTCATAGGACCCCACTGTATCCTATTTAAGTATTTAAGACTGAAAGTCATTCAAAAGAACCTGTTAAAAGATTTTAAAACATTTGACCCCTTTGACCTTAAAAGTCAAACAAGGTCATTATGTTGAACAAACTTTATAGCCCTTTATCTCACCATGCAACTTGCCAAATATCATCACCACCCTAGACCTTTTGTTTAATGAGATTAGGTCATTTAAAGGTTGATACATATTTTAACAAATGTGGCCTTGAAAGTGGGTTAAGGCCATTCAAATGACGACTAAGCATACTGCCCAAATATCATCATTCTGGGCATTTTGGTTATTCAGAAGAAGTCGTTTAAAGATTTTAAAAATATTTGACCCCTGTGACCTTGAATATAGGTCAAGGTTATTAATGTAACAAACTTGGTAGTCCTTCATCCTAACATGCTTATGGTTGAATATCTTCATTCTTCGCCCTATGGCTATTCAGGAGCAGTTGTGTAAAGATTTTTAACATATTTGATCCCTGCGACCTTGATAAAGAGTCAAGGTCATGCATTTGAAGAAAACTTGGTAGCCCTTCATCCCAGCATGCTACTTGCCAAATATCATCACCCTGGCCATTTTGGTTATTCAGAAGAAGTTGTTTAAAGATTTTAACACATTTGACCCCTGTGACCTTGAATATGTGTGAATGTCATTTATTTGAACAAACTTGGTAGCCCTTCATCCCAGCATGCTACTGACCAAATATCACCATCCCGATTGTTTAGTTTATTCAGAAGTTGTTTAAAGGTTTTTTTAAGACAATTGACCTCTGTGACCTTGAATATGAGTGAAGGTCATTCATTTGAACAACTTGGTAGCCCTTCATCCCAGCATGCTACTGGCCAAATATCATCACCCTAGGCCTTTTCGTTATTAAGAAGAAGTTGTTTTAAGTAATATATTGACGCCGGACGCCGGATGCCGCACCACGGCATCGGCTCACTTGGCCCTTTGAGTTCCTTTTCAAGGATGTTCCAAACCAAACAACATGTAGGTTATGATCTTGTTTACCAATATTTGATGAAAATAGACATTTGAACATTAGCTTTAATTCTTCTATTGAGCCCCAGCCCTCTACCCCCCAAGGGGCAACATCTTCATTTCAAAGCATTGAGTTTACTTTGCTTTAGGATACTTCAGACCAAATTAGGTAAAACTCATTTTATTTTTATAAAGATGGGTCTTTAAAACTATCATCTCTATTTTCAATAGTTCGCCCTGCTCCTCTACCCACAGAAACCAAAATATTTACGGATACAAAACTGAGTTACAACCATGATCCAGACCAAATTCAGTCAAATTTCATACAGCTGTTACAGAATAGTAGCCATTTAGAGGAAAAACTAATGAAAAAACCCAGGAATATTGCCTTGCCTTGGCATAAGTTCATATCCATTTAAGAAAGCTATTAATGAAACTACTGAAATTTTACCTGGAAGGTACTTGGAAAGAATGGCCCTGGGCCCCCCTGTTCTTGTGCAGGCTGCACTTCAGGATGTGGCATGGGTTGTCCCCCTTTTTCCCTCCTGCTGTGGTCCTCAGTTGGTCCGAACCTGAGTCCCATCTCAAAGCCGTGACTTCCAGGCTTGTTCTCCATGTATGTGTCCACAGGTGGGTCAGGAGAATTCCTCATACTGTTGGACTCTGAGGAAAATGGCGATGAGGCCAAACCTAGGGGATCATAAGATTGAATATAAACAACATGGACTACATAGGTGTGAACCTATACTGGAATATATAAAGGTGTGCTTCCATAAATAGATATGGCACAGATGAGGACCTATCATTAGACATATACACTAAATACTATCATAACGATTATTTCTTGAAGTGCCTTCCTAAAACAACTAACCAATATTTTCGCAGTCTTTAGAAAAGCTACTGTTTAAACTCTACCAGCTATAATATCAACGATCAGCTGTTATCGACTTTGCTTAAATGTGAGGTCACAATTCTGACCCTATCTATAGAGTTAACTGTAGTCATTTTTCACATAGCTTCTCATTACATTTGAATAGAAGGCAATTAATAGCAAAACAGTGTCGTTTTGCATGTTATAATAATACAACTGCCTGGGTTAAAGGGTTGGATAAACACGATCATATGCTGCAATACTTCCTTTACCACAATTTTCATAACAATGATAAATGTTTGACATTGTTTTACAAATGTCGAGTCATACCATGTGGACTATTTTGTTTGAGGTGATAAGCTTACTGTTATACAAACACCACTTAGCTACGTTTACAGCTCTAAACAAAATATAACACTTCAAATAGTGTGGTACTGCTTATTTTGAGTATTTAAATAGCAAGCCATACATAAATATGCAAGCATTCATTCCACTGTGGTTACGGTACAAGGATGAATGTTGGTAAAGGAGAAGCACACAATTAAATGCTGCCAATCTTTAAATCACTGTATTAAACTTTAACTATTATTGATTTAAAATGAAGTCTTAAGGCTTCTGTGACCTACTTTTGGTGTCGGTTGTTGACAGTGGTACAGACCACGGCGAACTGCTGAACAGTGTGTAGGTACCCAGCTGTTGAGGTGCGGGGCTTGGCATGGTCACCTGACAGGGTGGCCGGGGCTCTATCTCGGGAGTCAACAGGGGGCTGTAACAACAATCAAACCAACAGTCAATCATCATTAATTATATCTCAAATTTATAAATATTCCTTAAAATTTATACAAACAAAACAAAATTAATGGTATTCACAAATCTGTACACTATCTAAAGATACAACTCATATTTACTAAAACTGCAAGCCACATTTCAAGTATTTGTATAACCCCTGCTCCAACATGGAAAATCAGAAAAAAGACATACCCAGTAAATAGTTACAGATTAATCTCAATACTACGACTACCTAAGGTACTAAACATGTCTACTAAACCCCATAAGTATCAGTTACGAAGATAAGTAGCAATACTTTGGACAAAATGTATCAATGGCAATCAGAATTGAGCATTAACAGATTATTTAAAAGTGAACTAACTTATCAGGTATGAATTACTTACCTTCTACTCGGCGGGGAGGAGGAATCTGGCTTCGGCGTTCCCTATAGACAGATAGATAAGTACTTTTCATCACAATTTCCCTTAAGGAATGAGTTGCTTAAATACCAATCACTCTCGGCCAGCAATATATTGTAATTTGTCCTGTACCTAAGATCCCTCCAAGCCAACAACCACATTAATATTTTAACACAATTATTAGAACTTAAAACAGGTGAATTGAGAACAAGTGATTTCAGAGTCATCAAGCATGCCTGAGAAGTACAGGACACTGTGGTTTCCAGATTTTTGTTAGATTTGCCATCTTATGGGTTTTATTCACAAGTGATTTACACATAAGACCAGGTCTATCGTCCTGAGTGTCATGGAGCCAAAATTAGCTGTGTTTTATAATCATGGTCTCTCGTCCTGAGTGTCATGGAGCCAAAGTTAGCTGTGTTTTATAATCATGGTCTCTCGTACCGAGTGTCATGGAGCCAAAGTGAGCTGTGTTTTATAATCATGGTCTATTGTCCCGAGTGTCATGGAGCCAAAGTTAGCTGTGTTTTATAATCATGGTCTCTCGTCCCCAGTGTCATGGAGCCAAAGTTAGCTGTGTTTTATAATCATGGTCTCTCGTCCCGAGTGTCATGGAGCCAAAGTTAGCTGTGTTTTATAATCATGGTCTCTCGTCCCGAGTGTCATGGAGCCAAAGTTAGCTGTGTTTTATAATCATGGTCTCTCGTCCCCAGTGTCATGGAGCCAAAGTTAGCTGTGTTTTATAATCATGGTCTCTCGTCCCGAGTGTCATGGAGCCAAAGTTAGCTGTGTTTTATAATCATGGTCTCTCGTCCCGAGTGTCATGGAGTCAAAGTTAGCTGTGTTTTATAATCATGGTCTCTCGTCCCGAGTGTCATGGAGTCAAAGTTAGCTGTGTTTTATAATCATGGTCTCTCGTCCCGAGTGTCATGGAGTCAAAGTTAGCTGTGTTTTATAATCATGGTCTCTCGTCCCGAGTGTCATGGAGTCAAAGTTAGCTGTGTTTTATAATCATGGTCTCTCGTCCCGAGTGTCATGGAGTCAAAGTTAGCTGTGTTTTATAATCATGGTCTCTCGTCCCGAGTGTCATGGAGTCAAAGTTAGCTGTGTTTTATAATCATGGTCTCTCGTCCCGAGTGTCATGGAGTCAAAGTTAGCTGTGTTTTATAATCATGGTCTCTCGTCCCGAGTGTCATGGAGTCAAAGTTAGCTGTGTTTTATAATCATGGTCTCTCGTCTCGAGTGTCATGGAGCCAAAGTTAGCTGTGTTTTATAATCACTCTATTGTGAGTAGTAAGACAACACACAACAGATAATTAGCTTTATCCACTGACCTCTGCATGACCTTGGAAGGAAGCATGTCTGTTGGGTACCATCAACGTGTCCTGCATACCCCTGGGTGGCTAAACATAAACAAACTCATCATAAATCATCTTCACACATAACCAAGGCATTGCAAACACAATAGAAGGTTTTATATGTAACAGTATCTTGTTACGCCTCACTATAGCAACAACATGAACATTGTTTGCTGTATTTTCATACTTCACCACTACATGAACCGAACAAAAATCTGTTCAGAAACACAAACTCATTTGAGTATTATCATACTTATGATTTTGATCAAAATCCAAGCAGGATTAAATTCTCTAGAGCGATAAAGTTTTTCTATAGATAGTAATGATGACCTTGAACTTAACCTTGGCACCCTGAAACAGAAACTTGTTCAAGGTATTTTCTTGCATAAAGCAATATATGAAGTTGGATTAAAATCCATGTAGAAATGAAGTCGCTAGATTAATGAAAACAATTCCAGAAATAACTAGAACACTGACAGGTCAGTAAGGGCCCCGTCTTGTGGCAATATATCCCCCATAATCATCAAGAAGCAATCTGCCCATATAGCTCAGCTTGACGTTTGACATTTGGACTTCAAAAAGAATCACAAGGAAGCAAAATATACATTTTACATGTACTATGATGTGAGTCTTGTTTCCTTCCACCTCCATATTTGCTGGGCTAACAGAAATGTAAATACCGGTGCAATACTCATTTGTTAGCTTTGATTTGTTTTATTTCACCTTATATACCACCTCCATCAAGAGCCAGGGTCAAAGTCAGAGATCCACTTTGCCTTTGACCTTTGGACACAAATAACCTTGACCATTAACCCAGTGACCCTGATCTTTAGTCAGTTGACATATTCTTTAATTCCGACCAACTTTGCTTCTTAATATCATAACAAAATAATGTTTATCAGTGAAAAATACAAAACTTGACCTTGACCCTTTGGACCCCGTAACCTGGACCTAAGGTCAGTTGACTCTGTGTCAAGTTCTGAACAACATTGCTTCATAATGTCATAACAAAATGTTCATCAGGGAAAGGTACAAAATTTAACCTTCACCTTTGACCTAGTGACCTTGACCTTTGGTTAATTGACTCCTTGTTTAATTCTGAGCAACATTGCTTCATAATGTCATAGCGAAATGTTCACCAGTAAAAAGCTACAAAATTTTACCTTGACCCCTGAAATGATGACCTTGACCTCAATGTGTATTTTTGTGAACTGAACATCTTGACCAAGTTTCATGTACATCGGTCAATATATACCAAAGTTATCAGCCAGGAACAAAATTTGTGGACGGACAGACAGACAGACAGACAGAGTGATTACTATAGGGCACCCGTATCTCTGATACGGGGCTCTAATAACGATTACCTTGACCATGGACTGCTGACCAATTTATCATACAAAGCAACATAAAGACTTTAAAATCTGTCTTCCCATTGCTTTTACTACACCAAGTTCCCTTTGCCAAGTGATGCTTCAGATTAAATTTCCAGCATTAAATCCCCCCCCCCCATCCTTACTGTAATCCTGGGGTAAACAACTAAACATATGACAAAACAAGAGCACAGCATGCGTAAGCATGATAAGCCCATCAGACCCTCGGAAGGGTTTTAATATATTGGAAGCAGGTAGTGACATATGATATACATGTGTTTACTGACACTGTTTTGTTGGTGACTGTGACCTTGCCAATCATTTACTGTGTTTATGGCGCAAGCTATTTTGTGTTTAAAAAATACACTTTCGTGGTCAATGTTGCTATTACTAAAACAAGAGGTCCATTAGACCTGTATCGCTCACCTGGTTTTATATTTAAGTCATTACAACTGAATGCATTAGTACATCTTAATATGAAATTTCCTCAAAACCAGATTTATGTTCTAACCATACTGGGACCACAATATCTGACTTTCAACTAATCAGAGACCTCCATTGAGTTGCCACGTTAACAGATTTTGAAATAAGTAATATGTCATATTACAGGGTATAATTAGACAATACTTTAATTTTCATTCAACTATCAGCTTTTATAAACCTAGAAACCAATTTTTAACAATTTATGAAATTTACACCATAGAATATGATAATCTAGCTGTACCATTTCTTAGGACCGCAGGGGTGAAATCAATCTCATTCAATTAAAAAATGTTTGTTCTTCCTCAATAATGTTTTTGACCAAATTTTGTATAATCCACTCAGGCAATTAGGGGATATTAGCGTCTTAAAGCAAATTATTAGATAATTTTCCTCTTTGCGACCCAGTCTTCCTAGTCTGAGGGGTCGAACCAGTCTCATTTATTTATGAAATGATTGCCTCCCCCCATTGAAGTTTCAGAGCAAATTTGGTTGAAATCTTCTCTGGCATTTAGGAGGAGATGCATTTTAAAGCAAATTTAGAAAAAGTTCACCTTCAGCACCTCGCCTCCTGGCCTCAGGGGTCGAACCAACCTAATTTCCCCAACCTTACTTATTTAAGAAATGATTGCCCTCCCCTAGTGATGCTTCAGACTAAATTTTGTTGAAATCCTCTTTGGCGTTTAGGAGGTGATAGTTTTAAAGAAAAAGTTGACGACAAACAACAGACGGACGACGATGGAAGGACGGACGACGACAGACACTGCACCACGGCATAAGCTCACCTTGGTCCTTCGGAACTGGTAAGCTAACTAGAAACTGGGCTTTGAGGTAGGAGTCTTGGTATGAAAGGTTGGAACGAGACAACAAAACCTGTTATATATGTTAAACATGCTTGATTTTTGAATTACCATACTAAATTTGAATGGAATAAAACAAATAATGGCAAAGTTCATTTTCGACTGAATGCCCTTATTTGGCAATGAAAAAGGGGCATAACTATGCCGAATAGCATTTAAATGTCACGATTAAAGAACTCATTCAAAGCATTCAGGTAATGAACCAACCAAGTAGTTTAATAAAAATCATAGATAAAAAAAAATAAAAAAGTATTTGCATTTACTACACAATGCCCTTATTTGGCAATGAATAGAGGGACATAACCCAGCAATGAAAAAGGGACAAAACTCTGCTTAATAGCATCTAAATATCACCATTTAAGAACTCATCCAATGCATTCAGGTAATGAAACATCCAACCAAGTTTGAAAAAAAATGAAGAACACTTGTTTGAGTTATTGCATAAACAAGCAAATCTAACTGCAAAAACAATGAGCAGCGTTGCTATATATGTCAAGTATGATATGCCAAAACGCGGAAAGTTGTAACTCAACAGAAGAACCCGTAATATATGTTGAACATTATTGCTTCTAGCATTATCGTACAATATTTGAAAGGAATTGATTAAAAAAAAAATCTTGCATTTACTACACAATGCCCTTATTTGGCAATATAAGGGGCATAACTCCACCAAACATGCACATAAATTCCTGAAATGCGAGCTATATTGGTATGCAATATGTGTACCAAGTTTCATCAAGATATGTTCATGAATGAAGACAGGAGAGTGATGACAAGGAAAAGTTAATGGACGGACGAACAACGCAGCCCATACCATAATACAACCCGCCGATGACAAACATATGGGTACTTTGCATTCATTGTCAACTGTAGAGAAAACTTACCTGTACTGCAAGTAGTGACAGGGCCCCAAGAATGTCAGCAGCGTTTGGAGGGAGATCCTCTTTCTTCAGATTTTGTCTGATCAGGTCCAGTCCCTCCATGTTGCCGAAGTTCTGGTTTGCAAGGTTGAACCGACTGATGCCTGCCAAGAAGTTGATAGGGTTAAACATGGGCCCCTGGTATGAAGGGTTGACACCTTGCTGTTGTTGGGGCTGTTGGTGAGGGTGGGGCTGTTGGGGGCGAGATGGGTGGGGTTGCCCTGGGGAATGAGCTGAACTCTGAGTGTGAGATGGATGTGTTTGAAGGGGTTGTCCTCTCTGTTGTTGATTCTGTTGGGGAGGAGGCCCTCTGAGTTGTTGATTCTGGTGCAGAGGTTGGCCTCTAAGCTGCTGACTCTGGAGTGGACGAGGTCCTCTTTGTTGCTGATTGTGTTGTGGAGGCAGTCCTCTCTGTAGCTGAGTGTGCTGTGGAGGCTGTCCTCTCAGTTGTGCCTGTTGTAAAGATGGTCCTCTAAGCTGCTGATTCTGCTGAGATGGTGGACCATGCTGAGGCTGATTCTGCTGAGGTGGTGGCCCATGTTGCTGTAGATGTGTGGCTATTGGACCTGGGATTAATGATCGATTTGATTGTCCCTTGTATGAGTGCCCCCCTGGCATGTTGTCCATCCCACCAACTACTGCCCCTATCTCTGGTTCCCTTGATCCAGGAATATGGTCAACACCAGGACCTGAAGTCTGGTTCATGTGGCTACCCTGGAGTGGCCCCCCTACTCCAGGAATATGGTCAGTACCAGAACCAGAGGACTGGTTGATATGGTTACTTTGGGGTGGCCTCTGCATGTTGCTCTGCTGCCCATAGTACATGTTCATATTTGGTGGGGGATAATTTCTAGAGAAATGGTTTCCCACCTGACTCCCTTGCTGAGAGGGAGGCCTCATGTTGTTTCCTTGTTTGCCTATCATAGGAGCTCCTGATGGGGGATTCACAAAGGACATATTTGGGTCAAGAACTCCAGCAGGATGTGATCGGGCATGCCTCTGGTGTTGTGAGGATCGCAATTCCGCATTATCATTTGACCCTTCATGACCTTGACCTTGGACTTGACCTTGAACAGGGGATATGTCTTGTTGAAGCCCTTGTAAAGCATTGTGCTGGCCAGGTCCTGACGTCCTATATAGAATATTGGGGTCAAAATTCCCTCCTCGCATTGAGCCTCCATCCTGGTTGGCCATATGTTGGGTGTATCCAATCATATCAAATTCACTGGATGGGGAGGAGGCAGAATGACCCTGTTGCTGTGGCTGCTGCAGGTGCTGATGATGTTCCTGTTGTTTCTGTTGCTGAGTGACAGGCTTCCGAGGGGGAGACCTATAAACATTGAACAAAAATGTCATATTTTTTAAGTAGAGTAAGAGGTGAAATACAGCCTACTTCTATGTGTATGTTACCAATTATCAGAAAACATAACTACTGACCTGAAGTCTGACTGAAGGATCATGACAGGTTTGGGAGACTGTGCAGGGTGAGCTAGAGGTGAAGTCATCCTGGGTGGCTGGTGAGGGGATGCCACCTGTCTTTGTTGTCCTGGTGACAAAGCTTGACTGTTCAGTGGCTGTGGAGAAAACTGTGGGCCTGCCTGTTGCTTTGGATATCCAGCTGTCTGTTGTGAGGTCAACAGTTGTGGTGGGGCATCCTTGGCAGATTGTTGAGAGGTCAGCTGCCAAGCAATCTTTGTTTGTTTGCTTGTTTGGTCCTGGGAGGATATCTGATGTTGATGTACAGGTTGCCATGACGATTGATCCTCCTCCTCCATACCCTCTTCCTCCTCTGGATGAGTCTGCATCTGTTGCTGAGCAAGTTGTAGCTGCTGTTGTTTCTGTAGGCGAGGTGGGGTCTGTGTTGGGGGTCTTCCGGTCCCTACTGTGCCTCCAGTTGAGGGACGGCCTCCACTCGGTTTCATGAACAAAGGTTCACTGGTAGGAACCCCCAGTATGTACTTAGGAGGGCACAGCTTACCACCTCTCTCCACTCCTTCTACAGCCTTCACCTACAAATATACAAAGAAATCTTTCAACTCCTTATATTTTTAATATACATTAGTTTAATTTTATTTGGAATTGCATTTTTCCTGTAAATTCAGCTTGTATGTTTATCTTTTACCCTGCATAACTCTTTTTCTAATAGTAATAAATAAATAATATACAACATTAAATAAAATGCCCTATCTAGCTTACCTAAGCCACTCTAAAGCATGTTACAGTACAAAGATATACAATTTATACAATCAATACAATTAGCATATACATTTAATCAATACAATTTTGAGGAATTCGCAGGAGTTGCCCTATCAGGCACTAACTATAGCTACTAGTCATATGCCACCTGGCTAATATCTCCCTATGTGTGTAAGCCTGCGTGTGTGCTGGAGATGTATTGTGTTCTGTTTGTAGTGGGACCGTGCTTCCAACAGTATCATTTATAGTGCCACCTCACTTGAATGCTACAGAACAGTTACCACGACATCCACCCCAGACAGTTTTATACTCCACCTGGGTTGTTGGAGTTGTGTGGGCAGGAGAAAAATACTTTGTTCCATGCGTACGACAACTTCGGGGATCGAACCCCGGCCGCATGCTTGGAAGGACGGAGAGTTAAGCACTCAGCCCATCCGCCCATAAGATTTTAGTGTCTACAGACTTTTATTCTGATAATTTTTCCTTTATATATTTCACTTTTTTTAAGGGTGTTTATGATAAGTTTACCTAGAAACCTCACCTTGTGTGAAGGTTAACGTTGCTGTATTTTCGTAATTGCTTTCTCTCTACTGTAAAACCTACCTTGTCTGAAGGTTGCTGTATTTTAGTGATTGCCTCCTCTCTCCTGTAAAACCTTCCTTGTCTAAAGGTCTCTATATCTTAGTGATTGCCTTCTCTCTCCTGTAAAACCTACCTTGTCTGAAGGTCGCTGTATTTTAGTAATTGCTTTCTCGCCACTGTAAAACCTATCTTGTCTGAAGGATGCTGTATTTAAGTGATTGTCTTCTCTCTCCTGATAAACCTACCTTTTCTGTAGGTCGCTGTATTTTAGTAATTGCTTTCTCTGCACTGTGAAACCTTTCTTGTCTGAAGGTTGCTGTATTTAAGTGATTGCCTTCTCTCTCCTGTAAAAGCTACCTTGTCTGAAGGTTGCTGTATTTTGGTGATTGTCTTCTCTCTCCTGTGAAATCTACCATGTCTAAAGGTTGCTGTATTTTAGTGATTGCCTTCTCTCTCCTGTAAAACCTACCTTGTGGGAAGGTGTCAATATTTTAGTGATTGCCTGACTCCCCTGTAAACCTTCCTTGTCTGAAGGTTGCTGTATTTTAGTGATTGCCTTCTCTCTCCTGTAAAACCTACCTTGTCAGAAGGTCTCTATATTTTAGTGATTGCCTTACTCCTCTGTAAAACCTACCTTGTCTGAAGGTTGCTGTATTTTAGTGATTGCCTCCTCTCTCCTGTAAAACCTTCCTTGTCTAAAGGTCTCTATATCTTAGTGATTGCCTTCTCTCTCCTGTAAAACCTACCTTGTCTGAAGGTTGTTGTATTATAGTGATTGCCTTCTCTCCACTGCCCTGGTCTTTATTGGTCTGACTCTGCTTCTGAATAATGGCCTGTGGACAAAATCAGTTATATTCACGAACTGGAAATTATTGAAAACATTTTACCTTCTGATTTTGTTGTTTTTATATAGGACTACTAAGTTGCTATTCATTTAAATCCTGCTTCTAGTTCATGCAACACAACTGTTAAAGTCTGACCCTTAAGTCTAACATACATAGTTTACATGGAGTTCTACCTGTGTAGTTAACATGGAGTTCTACCTGTATAGTTAACACGGAGTTCTACCTGTCTTGATAACATGGAGTTATACCTGTCTTGTTAACATTGAGTTCAACCTGTATAGTTAACATGGAGTTCTACCTGTATAATGGAGTTATACCTGTATAGTTAAAATGGAGTTTTACCTGTGTAGTTAACATATAGTTTTACCTGTGTAGTTAACATGGAGTTCTACCTGTCCTGTTCACATGGAGTTCTACCTGTCTTGTTAACATATAATTCTACCTGTCCTGTTAACAAGGAGTTCTACCTGTCCTGTTAACAAGGAGTTTTACCTGTCTTGTTATATGGAGTTGCACCTGTATAGTTAACATGGAGTTATACCTGTCTTGTTAACATAGAGTTCAACCTGTCTTGTTAACAAGGAATTCAACCTGTCCTGTTAACAAGGAGTTTTACCTGTCCTGTTAACATGGAGTTCTACCTGTCCTGTTAACAAGGAGTTCTACCTGTCCTGTAAGCATGGATTTCTACCTGTCCTGTTAATAAGGAGCTCTATCTGTCCTGTTGACAGGGAGTTATACCTGTCTTGTTAACATGGAGTTTTACCTGTCCTGTTGACATGGAGTTCTACCTGTCGTGCTAACAAGGAGTTCTACCTGTCCTGCTAACAAGGAGTTCTACCTGTCTTGTTAACATGGAGTTCTACCTGTCCTGTTAACATGGAGTTCTACCTGTCCTGTTAACATGGAGTTCTACCTGTATAGTTAACATGGAGTTTTATCTGTGTAGTTAACATGGAGTTCTACCTGTCTTGTTAACATGGAGTTCTACCTGTGTAGTTAACATGGAGTTCTACCTGTCCTGTTAACATGGAGTTCTACCTGTCCTGTTAACATGGACTTCTATCTGTCTTGATAACATGGAGTTCTACCTGTCCTGTTAACATGGAGTTCTACCTGTCCTGTTAACATTGAGTTCTACCTGTCCTGTTAACAATGAGTTCTACCTGTCCTGTTAACATGGAGTTCTTCCTGTCCTGTTAAAAAAGAGTTCTACCTGTCCTGTTAGCATGGAGTTCTACCTGTCCTGTGAACAAGGAGCTCTACCTGTCCAGTAAGCATGGAGGTCTACCTGTCCTGTTAGCATGGAGTTCTACCTGTCCTGTTAACAAGGATTTCTACCTGTCCTGTTAACATATAGTTCTATCTGTCCTGTTAACAAGGAGCTCTACCTGGCCTGTTTACATGGAGTTCTCCCTGTCTTGTTAACATATAGTTCTACCTGACCTGTTAACATATAGTTCCACCTGTCTTGTTAACATATAGTTCCACCTGTCTTGTTAACATATAGTTCCACCTGTCCTGTTAACAAGGAGCTCCACCTGTCCTGTTTACATGGGGTTCTACCTGTCTTGTTAACATATAGTTCTACCTGTCCTGTTAACATATAGTTCCACCTGTCTTGTTAACATATAGTTCCACCTGTTACTGAACATATAGTTCTACTTTTATAGATAACATTTCTACCTATAGTTGTCTGGTGTTTACACATTTTGACCCTGAAGTTAACTAATGAAAACTTACCTGTATAGCAACATTTTGCCGTACTGGCTTTCTCTCTGGACTAGATTGAAAAGGTTGGGATTCCGAAGCTATGAATAAAGAGGATCTTATCAGGATGCAAATTCATATGAATAATAATAGGCAGAGTCAAAGTAGCACAATCAAAAATTGACATGTCAAAACATTTCAGTATTTTGTGTATATATATTCAACAAGAAATATACAGTAAAATCATCATTTTTTATGGGACATTAAATTTTGTTTATTTTGTGGATAACAAAAACATGTACCTACAAAATCAAATCCCCACGAAAACATAAATTTGGTACAAGGTTATGATTGGGCCTCGCCCTCTGCCCCTTGGGGGTCCCACACCCTGTTTGCTTAAAATTGATTCCCCTTTGCCAACAAGGGGTTCACACTCTTGGTTTTTTTTTAAATTGAGAATGCTTTGGCCAAGGATGCTGTAGAAAAAATCCCTTTATCGGTACGGAAGGGGAAGGCTTTTTAAGATTTACCTCTGTTTCCCCTATTGGGCCCCTCTGTCCCTAGGGGGGCCACACACTCTGTTAACACCTAATTAAGAATCTTTGTCCTCGGACGCTCCAGACCAAATTTGGTCAAAATTCACTCAGTCATTAAGGACTAGTCAGTCCAGTGGGGTTTTTAAAGGGAAAAGTCGATGACAACATGCCAAAAATGATTTATATATCAACTGATGTCACAAACCTGTTTATACTGATTATTAGATACTCATGTTAGACAGAGATCTGTCACCAATTATAGAAAGTGGCCAAGGCTCACAATATCCCCTGCCTTGACATATAGAATTTTGAATTTTATTTTGGAAATAGTGACCTTGACCTTGGACCATACTCAAACTTGTCACAGGTATCGTCAGGACAAACATGTGTGAACTTTCATGAAAGTGTTTTGAGAAATCCTGACTCTGAATTGAATACAATGAGTTTTATGGACAGACATACATCATAATGATCGGTAATTTCGACTTTCGGACAAAGATATCAAACAATTGAATTTTGTTGCTAGGTAAAACCCTTTAATGCTTAGGTCCTTGGTGCATGCTATGACAGATAGACAGACGAGACAAAAACATTACACACCCAGATTCTCGTAGCAGGGAGGGAGTATAATAAGAAGAAACAACAACTAAAGGAATAAAAGGTTATCGGGGAGTACTTCCTTGACTGTTTACTGAATGTGTCACCTGGTCACCGGTCAGCGTTTATTGTATACATGTACTTTTTCTTTGGGCAAAATCAAATACAACAAATTTAATCTTTGGTTAGATTTAACTTGATGTTTGCAATTTGTACACAATATTAAGATACTCAAAAAGAAGTTGCCAGCAAGATGCCAGAAGTCAAACTAACAACTAATAGCTCACTGTATTAAAACGCTGCCAAAAGCATCACAGTGAGCCAGTACAGGTAACAGAAAATATCAAATTCTCACCTGCGGTTCCGGTCTTAACAAGCACTGAGGGTGACATCACCTTAACTGGCGCTGATGTTGTGCCAATAACCTTGATTGGGGTCAATGAGGCAGTGACCTTGACTGGAGCTGAAGGGGCAGTGAACTGTACTTTGCCTATTTTATTGGCTTGAATATTCATGAGGTTTAAGCTGAAAAATAAATTTTGAACTTAATCTATATTTACAAGCCTTTTTCAAATATTTTTTATGGTAATAAATTTCATTAACACTGCACAATTAGGAAGAAACAAATCAAATTAAACAAGGTTACCGCGGGCGGTATATAATATGCCCGCAACACATTGAATGAGCAGTTGTTTGTATGATTGAAATATATGAAGTATTTGTGAGTAATTGATATTAAAAGAGAAATCATTCAACATAACTGGTAGATCAATGAGTGCAATACAACATCATGGAACGCAAGCATCGCATTAATAAAACCAAGGGGAATGACTCCAATAATTACGGTCGGATAATGGCGGTTATCGAACTTGACCGAGCTTTCATGGTAATTAACCTTGTTGTCAAGTTTGAAGTTAATCCGTTAATAATTACTCGAGATATCGAGCGGACACTGTTTCAGCAA